TACAAGAAAGTTTTGCAACACAAATATTCTAAGATGAGTGCCAAAACATTTTCTAAAAAATAATCCAATTATTTGAATAATAATGTTAGTTGCAACAACATGCCGTAAGATCGCCTCATTTCAAGAGCATTTCAATAAAATATCGTATAGGAGAAACAAATTTAAATTTTTCAACATTTAAATTGGTTCGACATATTCATAAAATGAGTAAAACTGAGATAAATTCGGCAAAATGAGGGGCATTTGAAATTTGAATCTTTACGTATTCATGTAATGTTATGTAACAGGCACACGACAAGATGTAATTTTCGTAATAAACATTGTTAGAAATGTAATTCGTAACTCTTATCTCTCTTTTTATCTTATTAGAAGCTGATACATGAGCTTCAACTAACTCATAAATATAAATACTTATGATATGGAAATAATGTTTTATGCAAAAAATATAAAGTCATCTAGCAGCGTTGTTCGTTTTAAACGTAGGCGTTGTAAACGGTGTCATACTTTTAGAATAAATATTTAGAATGTCCTTATAGGAAATTTATCATATATTTTGAATTGAAAACCCTTCGTCAATTTATTTTATGTTTTAATCTACGTCCTCTTTGCACGTATTGAAATTTTGCTTTAAAAGTCTTATATTAAGAAAATTAAGAAAAATTTTAAAAATTTTTCTTTTTTCCTCCAAAATGCTTCAATTTAATGCAATTTGAATTTTTTTGATTTACTTTTTTACATTATGCGCACAGCTGGGTTATTTTTTGTATATTTAGAGAAAAATTCTAAAGTACTCGTAGTCTCAAAAATAATGTAAGATTGTATATTTTTTATGCAAGAAATAAAAAATTCGGGTTTACGGAAAAGATTAAATACGCTTATTGATTTTTTCTTTTGAGTAATGATGCAATCAATTTATATTGGGTACTTTTAAAGGATTTTGAAATCATTTCTTTTTTGTGGGAAATTGTTTTATGAGAATATCAGTTCGGGTCAGTTTAAACGTACACGTACGTGTGTAAAGATCAAGTCTTTTAACTGGTAGGGAAATTTCAATATTTTTAAAAGTAGTTTTTAATAAAATAAGAATATTTTTGGTTTTGTTTTAGAAAAATTTAAAGGTAGGTTTGAATCATAATAAATTCGAATCAGAACAGTCTTACGAAATATGGACCATAGCAATTAGACAAAAGCCATGAATTTGTAATATTATGAGAAGGTACCTACTTTGAAATTTTGATTACTTCAAAATAATAAATACTTTGTCACGTACAATTAGAAAAGATTTTCGATAGTAATTTACAATGTTAATTTGCTTATACTAGAATATGTAAAAACTTTTGTTGTAATGAAATTTAGAATTAAAAATAAACTCTTAAAAAGAAGCTCCAAATGCAATTAAAGAAATATTCAAAATAAAATAATCAAAAATTTTAGCACTCAGTACTTCTGTCTTTTTAATTTTTGTTTTATCAAACAATTTTCTTGAAAAGCAGGAATACGTGACAATCAGAATCCATCAGTTCTTTATCTTCTTTAAGAAAAAAACAATATTTTCTGAACATATTAATTGAAGTCGATTCAAAACTGCAGTGGTCCCTTCTGTGATATACATAAATTCTATAGTTCTGTAGTCTCTGAAGAACAAAGCTTACTGATGTAACCTCCGGCAATAAAATCATTAGATTGTTAGCTATAAAACAGTCTCCTTGTGGGGTCGAATCACAAACATTCAGAATTTTTTATGGTACTAATACTTTCATGCAGCTTATCTCAAACACCATTTTTTCAAAACTTTTTAAAAACAAATTACTTTAATTAGATTTAAATTTTAAGATAAAAATCCTGAGCAAATGCTCTTAGAATAATTTTGATATTAGAATTCAGTAGTGACCATTATACAATTTTTCTTTTTAAATTATCCCGTAAGTCTGCAGTAATTAAAATTAATTTCCATACAATAATTCATTTAACATTCAATAACCCAACTGGTGTTATTATGTCTCTTGTCTGCTAATTTAAAATTTTATTGCAAAGAATGCTTTACCATAGCACACAAGATAAATTTTCATCTTCATTATTTACTCATTTTATAACTACATATGTATAGATACATATGTATACAATACTGTGAACATTGTATTAAATTTAATGTATTATTTTATTATACTTTTATATTATATTTATATATATATATATATATGTATGTATGGGTATATTTCATGATTAAAAATAAAATTTATGTTTATAATGGTAGATATTGTGTTTTTTCGGACATTTATTTTCTAATTAAAATTCATGACATTTTACTTAATAAAAATTCAAAATTGATGAGTAATTTTGTTGCTCATATGAAAATGACTTCTTTAATTTTTGGAATATAAATTCTAACTCACCCTTTAGCTATTTTTTTTTTGGTTTGTGTTGAGGAATATTGCAGTCGTAATATACTTATATGGAATGTATTCGAAATTCTTTATGTTTTACTTATAATATGCCAAAGGAAACAAAGGAATATTATGGAAATATAAGAGAACCAATAAAAAAGAAAATATTTTTTGAAGAAAAGAGAAAGAAAATCAAGAATTTTTATTATTGTGTCCTGCATATCTTATTTATTTAAATACTACTTTATTTTCTAGACGTAAAATATTAAGTTTTTTTTTTGCGTAGTTTCTCGTGTTAGATATATTAATATTCTCTATATTAAGTCAGGATGAAAGACGAACATAAGGAGATCTATTTTCGAAATTTGTAAGGTAAATGTACCAAGTATTTCTACCAATAAAGCTCATGTAATCTAATTCAGTGGAAGTTAACATTTATGACTTTATTTAATTTTTTAATATTTAAATGTTTGGAGGTATTGTAAACATCCGAATAAGAATCAGAAAAGAATTCATCAGAATTAAGATCTTAAACTATAACTTAAGTAATATACTTTTCAAGCAAAATTCTAATACAACCAGATCCTTAACAATTGTTTTCTTGAATTATTCTTTAAATTATTCTCCCCACGTTGATGGTATCACTCTGTCTAAAGCAATAGCTGATCGTGTTGTACAACTCCCGCAATTAGTCGATCGGCAGAGGATCGACCGATATCCTTAATGGGGTCTCGGTCCCAACTGCTTAATTTCTAATAATTTTCCATAGCCCGGAGTCAGGCCCCCGGTGTACCCTTTGGGTGTTATATGTCCTGCCCTCAACAAGCTCTCCGTGCTGTGTATATTCTTAGCCTGCCATGGGGGCTTTGTGTCTCGTTTTAATCTTCACTTTGAACTTGTTCTAGTCCTTTTGCGGTTCTTCTAGCAACAAAGCGTTTTAACCACTCCTTCAGTTATTTGAACCTAACGAGTACATATTTAAGAACATTTGGTCCTAGGACCATAGTTCATCTCCATTTATTCGACACTGTAGCCTCATAGTTGTTGATGTGCTGATCCCAAATTAACGTCTGTAAATGGCATTGAAGTCAAAGCCGTTAAAGTCGCTGATCTGCGGAAAACTACAAGTGTTACTGATGGCACAATAGCAAATATGTTCGTTACACTGCAATACTTCTCCAATGACGGCGCAGTAGAAATCATTGGAGCCTTGCATCCTCTGTCATTAGCTGGCTTTAAGCATCAGGCTAATATTCCTATTCAGGAATGCAAAGTTGGCGTGAGGTCCACAGAATCCGTCCTGATTTTAATCATGTTTTTACCACAGCCATTTTCAGAACTCACGGCTTGAAGGTAACGCTTCGATTTTGCGCTACTCAAACCATTTTGCTCATTGATTGACCATTGTCAATAAGATAAAATTGTAAATTGTCAATTTTTTTACCATATTGAAGTTCTTCATCAATATGTACATAATTTTTACACATTACTATTTTCTACGAAAAAAAAAAACTTTTTTTTTTTGTTTTTGACTTCCAATATGTGAAAAATTGTGAAAAATATTTCCATATGTTTTCCATTTTTTCTTTCTATTTCCAATTTGTGTGAGTTTACTCCTCCGAAAGAAGAAAAGCACAACTTTTTCGTACATGGGATAAACATGAAAATTTTATTTTAATGGTAATGTTATGGCGTGTTCTTTTCTCTCTATATATTTATACAAACACATTATATTAAATTGAAATAGAAGAATTTCCTGGGGATTCATTGACAAATGAGTGTCATTTTTAAAAAAAAAAAAGGACATGGACAAATCTATATACATACATAGGTATACCTACAACCATTTTGAAAAAAAAATCAATATAAAATAAAATATACAATAAAATTGTAAGAATAATTTTTCATATGATATGAGATTTGAAACCTTACTGTTAGAGAATTACAAAATAAATGTCAATTTGTAGTTTTATTAAACAAAAACAAGAAAAAAGTAAAATAAACAAGTGGAAAAGACTAGAAAATTATATAGATAAAATGTACGTGACAAATGACTTTTAGCACCCCTCAAACCACAACTTTTTTATTCTTTTTTTTAGTGTCTTTATTATAAAATTGAAAAATAACCCACTTATGCTGATAAGGATGCCATGAAGTTTTTAATTAAGTCTGTGGTTTTCTAAAAAAACAGCATGATATTTGTACAGCAGGTATTTCTGAAGTAAATTAGCAGTTTAAATAAGACATCTTCAGCTACTAACATAATATCATCACAGATCTATCGTAATACTATTTAAATGTAGAGTTCAAGACGGAAAAGATTAAATTCACGTTAAGAATTTCAGCTAGAAATATTAAATTCAAGAGAGAATGAGTTTATTTCGGCTTGTATAATTCACAAATCCAAAGATGTTCCAAAGACGAATCTTCACAATGATTGTTTGAAATTATTACCGATTATGATAACTGTAATTTACATTCTTTAAAATATTTAAAAATTTTATTACAATTTTCAAAATAATTATAATAATTTGAATAATTTTCAAAAGCTTTAAAAATTATCGACAATTTATGAGATTTTTAATTAATTTTTCAATTTATTTTTCCTATTTTCAGATTATAAAGACCAACCCGATAAATTGAGGGCTTTGAAAAATTAAGTTTTGAAAAAAAAACCAAAGAAAACCAAACTAAAAAGTGAAATAAATGTTATTAAACTCAAATTAAATTTCAATTAAAATTTTATTCGAAAAAAAAATTGAAAAGAAAAAAATTTTTATAAAATTTATTTGGAAAAAAAAATAAAAAATTTAAAATAAAAATTAAAAAAACTAAAAATATAAATTACAAATGAAAATAGATGTTATAAAATGAAACTGAAAAATATTAAATTTTATTATATGAAGATTAAAAATATTAGAATTAATTTTCGGAATGAACTCAATAATCCTTATGCTGTTTGGATTATTTAAAATTATTAATAGTGGTAAGTATATAGAACAGAGAAAATCTTAAATTTTTTATATTTGGCTTCTATATATTTTATGTATGTATTATATAATATGTATAACATTGTTGATTATGTAAAGATTTTGAGTCTTAGTTGACAAATTAAATAATAATTAATTGACTGCAATAAAAACTGTATTTGTAGCATATTTAAGTCTTGTAAAGAACTGAGAGGTGCAAGAACAAAAAATAAATAATCAATCTACAATCTCTATATTGTTTTACGTACATATAGTTGGCCTATATGTATCCTTCGGGGAGCCGCGACACCCTAACCTATATAAATTTTATATATTATTATGTATATATTTTATTATGTATATATTTTATTATGTAAAATGAATAAATTGGAAAATATTTTTAATCAATTTAAATAATTGACAATCCATTTTCAGTCTGATACACCCAACTAATTAAATTTTGTCTGCTCGCTCGTCATATTAATCAATTATTATGAGCTTTTAAATGTAAAAATTAGAGTATAAACCTATGTTTATCTCGTGCTCCAACAGTCATTTTTAGCCTCCAGTATAACTCTACCACTTTCGTCATAGAGTAACGATACATTAAAAATTAAAAGCATTTGTTCCTAAGACAATAGTTCATCTTTACTTATTCGACTCTTTAGATTCAGAGCTATTGATGTGCTCATCCCAAATTGACTTCTGTAAATGAGACACTGAACCCATAGCCGTTGAAGTCGCTGATCTGTGGAAGTGACAAGTATCACTTTTCATCTATTTTTATAAATTTATTGAGCAAAATCTTAAGTTGTTTATGATTCCTAAAAGTACGTCAATTATAAAAACTTATAGACCCAAATAATAATACCAATCGTAGCACGTATAAAATACAGTATTGAAACAAAAATAACTATCACTCGCTCGTTTCATATCTAAAAATTAATTCCTATACATAAGAATGTTCTTATAACGCTTGACTTTCGACACAGTACCGCAATTATATATACAATACTCAATAATTGAAACAATTAATTACTTAGTATAATTACATACAATTGCTTTCAACTTAAACCATTTTTTTTCCCTCCTTGATAAACTTTTTACATTCCACTTCCATTATTGATTACTGAATACTTAATCAAATACCTATATAAAAGCATGTACCCTATATTGATATAAAATAATATATTAATATATTTTGAACAAGTATTTAGTATATACATAATATTCTATATAATAAATAAGTAATTATTTGTGTTAAATTAATTTTTTTTTACATGCACCTACATACCTACCCTATACCAATACCTGATACATGTACGATATTAAAATGCGAACAAGTGTAACATCTTTTAAATATTTTATTTTATAGAAATAATATTCATTACACTTACAATTATTTAGGGCGCAATTATATTACTTATATACTTTATATTGTACGTGTTATAATCCTATATATTATATGGTATTAATATATTATAAATATAATATAAAATTTCTAATTATAGAACCTCATTCTATTAAATGTAATGTAAAAATCTCGAAAAAAATGTTCGAAGACAATGTATAAAAAGTACAAGGATACATGAACCTCTCTACAATAATAATGTATGCATTATGATATCAAAATAGAAATTTTCATTGTATTGTTATAAATTAATGATGAGGTACAATATATAATGAAAAAAAAAGAAACAAAATAAAAAACAAAAAACAAAAAATGGCAACTGATAGGTTTTCCATGTAGAAATTAACAAGGTCATAACATCATGGTGACTCTATTTAATAAAATACTTTAGATATTTTTATGTATAACAAAAGATCAATAATACCCACTATATATGTAAGGGCAAATAAGAAAAACAAAAAAAAAATTCATTATGTCGAACAGGAAACAAAACAAAATGAAAATTTAAAGGACGCGAAAGAAAAAGAAAAAAAAAATTCATATCCTTATTTCAATTTTATATAAAAGTGGAAATTGATTTTTAAGAACGAAATATGGAAAATCACAATTTAAAGGTTATTCTAAAATTCTATGTGGAATGCCATTATTCGTCGAAATTAATTTGATTCTTGCCTTTTAAAGCTAAACTTTTATTTTAAGCAATAATTGCAAATATACGATATTAATTTATCTTTGAAAATCTAGAGCTAACCTACATTTTAAAGTCATATAATATGCAAATTGTATGCTTTATTTAAAGAGTTTCAAGAATCTTAATGTCGGAGAAAATTTAAAAAAACGAAAATTTCATTTTTAAATTACATAGATGGTATAGAATATAATCAATGATTTGCTAACATCAAGGATATTTGTATACTTATAATATTCAAATGAGTACACATACCATACACAATTTTGTTAAATTTTATGGAAATTTTCAACATTAACTTCAATTTAACGAGCAATAAACCAAATTTTTATTTTCAAATTATTTAATTTTTTTAAATAAATATATATATATATATACATATTTTAATGGTGTAACTTAATATGTTCATTAAATTTTTTATAATACTTAGTATATACAGTGTATAAAGAACTTTAAATTTTATAAGAATATTGTATTGCAATATATTTGTAATTGAAATATAAAATTGAGCTATTCCTTTTCTACGAAATTTAATAGTAGAATCGTGCGATTTATATACGTACTTGAAGATATTATAAAAAGACGTTGTAAGTAATTACTTTATTATTGAAAATAAATTTAATATAGCTATAGAATTAAAAAATAAATTTCTCTTTGATAATCATCATTTTCCTATTTATTTTCTGTAATGGTAATCAGATAAGAAAGCGACAGTTAAGTATTTAGAACAAATATCAATAAATTTTCTAAAATTAAATAAATAAATCAAGTAAATATCGAGTAAAAACATTATACGATATTAAACATAGTGAAATTAAATTGATTTATTGACACAATACGTAACCAGCTACATACATATATATATGTTGATAAATCTTCATTATTCAGTAGTTTATACAATAATAACTATAATGTATTAAATAATTTAAGTAAATATCTGGGTATCATCTGCGAATAATCATTTTTTTATTATATCGTAAATTATTTTCTAATATAGAAAACTTTTGATATATTGATAAATATTAATATTTTATGTATACGTTCTATATACATATAATAATAATGCTTATAAGTGTATAGGAATTTATGAAATCATGAAATCAAATGGGAAAATAATAACAAAAAAAAAAAAAAAATTTTTTTTTTCTATCCAATCCCCTCCGCAATATCTCTAAACGGCAATAATTATCAATCAAAGAAATTTCAAAACAACCCAACAGCAATTACTTAAAATTTTAAATTATGACAGCACATAATGTACACAATAATATACAAATAGCTATATAAAAAAAAAATTATACGCATGATTTATATAGTATACAAGAATTCTAATATTTTGCATACTTATAGGGATACAGTTAACTTTACGCAGATTCACAACATTTTAGCAGAACTGACTATGATTAATTATAGTAGATACAACCTTGATATTTATACACTCTTGTTTTCAATATACTTCTATACGAGTATACGTATATATATATATATATGTATATTGGTATATAACAGTACAAATAGCCATTATTCATAGAAACAGAGGATCTCCTCGAACAAAAATAAGAAAAAAAAAACGAAATATTAAATGATTCCATATTTTTTACATTTCTCTTTCCTTCGGTCCTTCTATTTTACAATGTTATGGTACAGTAGGAATATCCTTGGGATGAGTAATTATTATCTGTTTTTTTAATCTCAATTATAAAATGAAGGAAAATCTGAAATATATAAAATATTCTCTTTATTTTTCAAAAATCAAGAAAATATGAAAAAAAAGAGAATAAGAAAATTTTTGAAGAAAGAATAAAAAGTGAACCAGGGGGAGAGAAAGAGAGAAGAAATTATTTGATTTTGTGCTGTAAAAGTATAGAAAGAATTTCCGTTTTAATAAGGATTTTATTACCATTTCTTCATAATAATTATAAAATTGGTACGTCTTCTTTAAAATTATAACAATTAAAATAAAAATAAAATAATTGAAACTTTTAAAATAATTTTGATTAAGGTTACTCTGGATTCTTTATAGGTTTAATGTAGGTTATATAAGATTTTTGTAGAAATCTTGGCTACCTTACACTACAATTATTTATCACTAATGCATCATTATGTTACCATTCCCGTACTTTCGAATTCAATTTAAAAATAACATCAATGATAATGTTTAAAATTAAGATAGCAGTTATTTTCTCTTTCCATTAAATGTTTTGGAGATTTGTTAATTAATATTAAATGCAAACAATTTTTGCTATTAGTTATAAATTTAAAAAATTCTAATAAATTACTTAGAGAACCGAATTGAATTGCATACTTTTAGGGAGTGGGGAATTTTTTTTCCGCACAAGTAGAATGAAAATTTCATTAGACCGGCAGTTAACCTAGATGCACAATTAATTACTAAATACTTAAAAACACTTGAATAAAAATTATATTTTTAAAGAAACAGTAGCTGGGTATTGAAGTCTAGCTCAAAATCTCTGTAAACAGTAATATGTTAGCTCTAAAATTTGTACTTTTTCCCTAAAAAAAATTTATATATTTTTCCATATTTAAGTTTTATAATTTGTGAAGGGGGGGGGGGGGAAGAAAAAGTTGTTTCAGAATAAGAATTTTGATAACTGAACGGTAAATAGCCAAGCCTGACGGACGGACGAATATAATTAAGATAATGAGCAAACTTTTTTTCATTTTTTTTTTAAAAGCACTGAAAAGAATTCAATTTCTCATTTTTAAATCAATTATTCTTATAACTGTAAATTAAAATGTAACACTGAATAAGTATTTTCGAAAAATTATTTTAAAAAAATTATTTCCAAAACAAAAGCCGGACAGAGACAAAGAAAATAAAGAAAAAAATATACAAGAATTTGGTATCCCAATGAGATGTCAATCAATTATCATAAAAATGACAATCAACGAAAGAA